TCACGGGCACATCAACACAACCATGCGTCGAAATCAGCAACACATCAGTGCCATGTGACTAGTAAACCACCTTTGGAAGAGTCAAGGAGGTTCGTTTTGTTAGTTGAAGGAGGTGAATGTCCATTTTTTCTGTTCAGGGAGGAATTCCAGACTCAGACGATAGTAAAAAGGATTGCTTTTCCGTGCTATTTTGCCCTCCAGCGCTTGGGCCTTATCAGCTATCAAGGGCCCTTATCTGCAAGCTGGGCATCACGCTTCTGGGCCAAAGCAGACTCGCGCTCCCTGCGTACGTTGGCCGACTAGACTCGTGACGGCCGAGAACAGTCTCGGTCCAACCGGGCCATGACCGCGTCAAAGCAAACCTGGAGCGGGCCTCCGTGGCGACGAGCAAGAGTGGTCTGCTGACGAGCGCATTTGCCATGATCGGAAAGGGAAACGAGCGCATAATCGCATTTGCCATGATCTCTTCTGAAGAAAGAGAACAAAACAAGGACCAATCGCCGTATGCGGCGGCGGCGGATTGGGCTCACGGCACAAAGAACGAAACCAGCCAACCGTTTGCTCCGTCCTTTGTCGTTTGTCCCCGTGCCCGTGATCCGCTTCGCGGTCATTTGTCGTGCATGGCCTACAATTACATCCGGTGATGTGAGCGACCTATGCCAGGTGTCCGCCGATGGCAGGTTGCGTGGGTGCAATGCAACAGAGAGAGCACAGCGGCGCACCTCGTCCTTGCGCCTCCACCGTTACCCCTTTATCCGTCCGTCGATGCACCACATCGCCAAAAGACCATAGGCCACCGACGCCACCACTCGCGGTGTCAATCCACCCAAAAAAAAGAAAGCAACCAAACCTTGTTGCGATCTCACGGATCCACTCGCGGCGCGGGAGTATTTTAGCTCTAATAAAACAGCCTGCCTGCAGGCTGCAGCCATGGACCTCGACCAAATCCGGAGACGCCAATGACTCACGCGACCTATAGCAAAACGACACGCCGAACGAACGGTCGAAACGCACGGATGGGTTAAGCTGACCGCCGAACGGCCGAAGCAATCAAAGCAAATCCCCCGATCCCACCGAATTTTTTATTTCTTAGCCCCTTTTTTGAAAATTTTTCACAAATATATCCCTGGAGAAAAGATTTCACAATCTGGTCCCTTAGCTCGGCGCCATCGCTGCTGGCGCTGAGCTAACACGTCTCGGCGCCAGCGTCCTTGGCGCCGAGCTCTTGGACTCGAAGCCAACGTGGCGTGACATGGCAGGAAGCTCGGCGCCAGTCACCCTGGCGCCAAGCTCGGCGCCGTAGATCTTGGCGTCGAGCTTAGCGCCAGGGTGACTGGCACCGAGCCTTTCTTACGTATGAGCCCCAATCCTTTCTCTCTTCCTCTTCCTCCCTCTCTCGCATCTCCCTCGCCCGAGCAGAGCACCACCGCCGCCGCCATGCGCCGGTCCCTTCACGATCACCCTGAGCCACAGCGACCTCGCTTCGCCACGCCACGCTCTGCCGCCACGCCTGCCCGCGCCTCGCCACCACCACCACGGGCGCCGCGCAGCGGTGCCAGCCCGCCCGCGCCACCGCCACATGCCGCCACAGCATCGCCCGGCCCGCTTCGCCAGTCCCTCGCGCTCCGCTCGCTTCGCTACCGCCCGTGTCCGCCGTGTTCGCTTTTGCCTTGCCGCGCCGTCGCGCCGATCGCGTCGATCTTTGTGGATCGTGTTGCCGCCCGCCACCGCCGCCCTAGGCGCGCGCCACGAGCCCGGCGCCTCGCCCATGGAGCGCCGGGCATCCAAGCCGCCGCCCCGCCACCGCCGTTGTCAATCACGCCCCCGCCAGCCCCGGGGCATCGGCCTGACCCACGCTGTGCCACCGCCCGCCCGGCTCGTCGGCCTGACCCATACCCGGCGTCCACTGCGACTCCGTCGTCGGACAGGTAAAAATTGTAAATTTGCAATATGCGTACTTAGTTAGCTTTGATTTTAGTATAGTAGTTTTGGCATTTGTTATTTACTAGTTAATGTGATGACTCAGGTAGTTGATTTAGTTAGTGATTTAGTGAGATATATATATGTAGATAGATAGAAACATAGATATATAGGTACATAGATATAGTTAGATAGCTACTTAGATAGGTAGTTACATATTTAGTTAACTAAATAGGACCTAGCTATTTAGTTAATACACTGTATCTATATATATAGTTATTATCTTATTTACTTAGTTTGTAGTTAAAAAGTACTTGTTATGTATTATTTATCATCTAATTTGGACTAAAGGACATGTGTTTTGTTATGTGTTTAAACTAGATGGATAACCTAGTGATCCATATTGCACCTGCCCTAATCACAAGAACAAGGGACCTCCGCTGCCACCCCCGCCGCCACCACCACCAACAATGGGAGGCTACTTTGGAGAAGGTGCAACACAATTTGCTATGTGGCCACACTATTAGGACGACTTTATCTTATTCACATGGTGCATCTATGTGTTTTTTGTTTGGTTTAATTACCTAAGGCATGTTAGGTTTAGTCGAATAAACTCTGTACCCTAGTTCGATATATGTTCTCACATGCCATTTTATGTGTTTTGTGTGTTGAAAAGGCACAAATTTAGTACATAGATTAAATGTAAATTCATTGGAACGTGTATAGTCCAATCGTATCGTACAGACTTAGGTCGGGATTCCCGGCTTGGGTCGGGACTTTCGACTATCGGAGTTCTGACTCACGTCGGGACTTCCGACGTCCATTGTCAATGCGCAGGCTAAGTGACTGGACGTCAGGACTTCCGGCATGAGTCGTGGCTTCCGACTGTCGAGAGTGCCGGCTTACATCGGGACTTCCGACATCAACAGTCACTAAAAAATATTCTACGTGCCCGTGAGTGTTAGAGTGTCTCTCTTTTGACTTTATTTCTATGCTTGAGCACTCTATTTTTCTCAGACCAACTAAGTTTGCATCCCTCTTTATAGTGCGGCGGATCCTAAGCTCAAAAACAAAAATAAAACATTTGGAGAGCGTATACTGAGTAATAGCTGCGACATATCTCATTAAGATCATATTAGTCCCTAATTTGTATGCTATCAATACACCAAAACCCACATATGGGGTAAATACACTTTTAAATCCTCAGTCTGAAACATACTGAGTAAGCAACTCATCATCCGAGTACCAGTTCTCTACCACAACCCTGTTGCTGTGGCTAGGCTCACCTACATTGCTCTGACCTGCCTGTCGCCTATAATAAGTGGCCTCTGCTTCATCTGCGGCCTCTACGGTCTGAGTGAAGAATGCGTCGCCATCCAAGTTTCAAAAGGGACTAGGCCATAGTTGAATTTAACACCACATTCGTACATTGGTTCTTAACCTTTCGCGGTTCTTTCGACCATTGGTTCTTAGGACCATACAACCACTCCTTGAAACGATACTTCGTCATTGAAAACACCTAAATAAGGTGACATTAGTACATGAACACATATAGCTCAACATTTCAACACATACACTTTGCACTTCATGCTTGTTTGGACACACAAAGTCTAACGTATTCTCAGAGTTTATCACAGCTCGATCTCCGCAATGGCACAGAGGAGGTTCCTCGAGTCGTCTAACCGCGACTAGGTGCTTCTGCTTAGCCGTCATTGGTGGAGGGTTAGGGGGGTGGAACCCACCGCTTGAAGTGCGCACGTGGATGTCTCCCTCTAAACCAATCGTCGAAAAGGAGGTACATAGGATCAAACTTGTCTGCACCGTCGATCCACTGAATGAAAAAGCACCTCTCATGGTCCTACACAACGTGATTCCAATAAAATATTAGTAACATACTTATACAAATAAAGAAAAAAGATAGTGGAAACAATTTCTTATATTAAAACGACTGCATGTGTAGAAGCACCGCGCGCGCTGTGTCCGGATGTTTCGATTGAAAAACGTGGGCCGAAAAACCACAGTCATAGTTAGGGACAGGGAGGTCAGGAAGGACGGGGGCATCTTTGCTAGACGCGTCGGGGTATAATTCTCGAGGACGACCCCGTTTTCGCCAAAACTCCTTCCGATACATTTCTTGCATCTAACAAAACGGATGTAATTTAACAAACAAAAATCAAAACATTACAAATAAATGCCAATGAGAACCATAACTACAACGCAACCAATTTCGTTATCAGAACCGAAAGCAATTAACATTAAACTCTAAACTTAGGGTTTTCCATTTGATGCACAACAATTAACCCATAACATAACTACATGTATTGCGGTTACCTAGGTTTGCTAGCTTTTCCACGACTTGGCATCATTCTACCGTTGTATAATACAAATATTGAGAGATAGAATGAAACCCTAAATAACGACGATTCGTAAGTTGAAAAATTTGACTAATATATACCGAATCGATGTGAAAAAAACTAGAAGGGGAGCGTGGATACCTTACTCTCGAAGATCTACGGATCAAATCAAAGTTTACAAGATCCAATATGCCGATTCGTGAGGTAAGACGAGGTGGGGAGAGAAAAAACTCGAGAGGGAGGAGAAAGAAGAGGAAGAAGGCTCGGGCAGGAAGGTTGGGTCCGGGGTTAAAACACAAACTCGGCACCAGTCATCCTGGCGCCAAGGGTGACTGGCGCCGAGCTTTCTGCCATGTCACTGCCACGTTGGTTTCGAACCCAAGAGCTCGACCCTAGGGACGCTGGCGCGAGAGACATGTTAGCTCGGCGCCAGCGATGATGGCGCCGAGCTAAGGGTCCAGATTGTGAAATCTTTACTCCAGGGACATATTTGCAAAAAAAAAAATTAAAAAAAAGCTAAAAAATAAAAAATTCGGCCGATCCCACCACGTACTGTACCTTTTCAGGAGCACCACGTAGGATCGCCTCGCCACCCGCACCGCATTCTCTCGCACGCGCCACAGCCCACAGCTCACGCTGCGCCTTCGCCGGGGCCGCCATCACGCGCGAGGGAGAGAGAGACCACAGCCACAGCCACAGCCACCGCCACCGGCGGGCGGGATCGGAATGGTGGCGCCGGGGGGAGGAGCAGGAGGAGGTCCGGCGCGTTGGCCGGCGGCGGAGGAGGTGAGAGGTTTCCTGCGGCATTGCACCGACATGGGGGGCGGGGGGATTCGCATGCGGCTGCGGGCGACGGGCGTTGGTTGTTGGGTTTGCGATCTCGCGGCCGCGTGGGCTTTGCCGCCTCGGGGGATTCAGGGGTGAAGCCGCGGCCCGGCGATTTCAGATTGTTGGGTGCTGTTGGATGCCGTGGCCCGTGCTCAATTTATTTGTCACTTAATCAATCTCGGAGTAGTTTATCTGGATCCGTTCATGCCGTTTTTGCTTGTTGCAGATGCATCTCTTTTGATTAAGCTTATGCTCCTGAGACGTCTCTCTTAGCTTCGAGTTAATGTGGGAATGCTGGGTGGTGGTTAGTGAGACCTGACTTGGGATAAGACCGTGCCCTGCTTTTGCTTTCTGATGATGTGTCCGGTAGAGGAAAGTAAGGTGCTATTATTTCCCTTTTGATTTGATTGATGAAGCAAAAAGGATATCCAGTATGCTTTGTTTGGATAATGGCTTCGCATTGTTGGTTCGGGTCTGGCTATAATGACCTGTACCTTTCATCTTGTCTCAATACAGCCTGAATCTTCCTTGTTTCAACTTTCAAGTAAGCAAGGACCATATGGCTGGCCATTTCTGTGGACAGGAAGGATGTGTGCATATTACTGCGTTATCTTATTTTCTGATGACCCCGGACTGAAATTGATCTTGTCAAAGTTGCATGATCTCAAATGAGAAACCCCATGTTAGTGTAGGGTGGTTGACCTTAAGTTAATCTTGTTGGTTAGTGTATTGCAATGTTTTTCCTTTTACATCATGTAGCTGGTATTGCAGCTTGACATTGCACGGAAGAAGGTGGCGGAGATTAGTGGAAGGGATGAACAAGAGGTTAGGGTTGCTGCTTGCCCCTACAGAATTTGCCCTTTGGGGGCTCACATTGATCATCAGGTGACCTTGTGTTACTATGTTGTTCATTTTTTTTTTCAGAAGATAATAAAGTCACGATTCTAATCGAGAAGTTAAAGTACATGTTCCAGAGATCACGTTGTTTCCATATAAATGGTAATATTGTAGTATTATTCTGTACATATATTGACCTAGTGTCACCTCCAGTATTGATCAGGCTTAGATGATTTCCAGGACAACATTAGGCCACTCCCTGTGCGAATGTTTGTTAGTTGCATCAAGCTATGTATAGTGACAGTGATGAACGAGCTTTATGGCTTGACAATGTGGTGATAACTGATCATCACTAATAAACAAAAAAACCATTTGAGTATTGTTTGGAACATGTTCTGGTATTTTCATTTAGAATATGATGCCTGAATACACTATGCCTTATACTAATTTTGGTAAAAAGTTTCAAAACCTACGGCAAAGACAGTCCAACTGATCAGAGTGCATGAACCCATAATGTCAGTTTGATTAATGCGATTGTCATATTATTACAGTAATAATTGATTTTAACTTCAAACAGTGCATAGACAGTCATCACCCCATAATTGTTATCTAAATTCTCGTCTGCAATCTGGCAGGGTGGAGTTGTCACAGCTATGACCATAAATTATGGGGTACTCCTTGGTTTTGTTCCCTTTAATGGTTCCGAGGTTGGTAAATTACTACATATTACCTAATTTTCTTATTAAAAAAATCAAGTCAGCTTCTTTGTCCTGAAATAATATATTACACCACCTTGGCTCCTCGTCACTCCGTGTTTTGGTATTCATGTCTCTGCTTGTTTACATGTTTGGTAAAAATGCATCATAAGCGGAACTTATGGTCCCTGTGCAAAGTTGAAGTTCTTGTGCACTATCATTCATGATTCAGGGCAGTGCTATATTATCTATAAAGTAAGCAAACTTTATTTTTCTTTCAGGTTTTACTTCAATCTGGTCAATTTGAAGGTGTTATAAGATTCAGGTAACACCGTAAAAAACTTGTTTTTCCTTGATCAAACTTTCCACTGTGTTTCAGCGTTCCTAACACTGCGTAGTATTGAAAACTAGCCCCATCTGTGGGACAACATCGCTTAGGAAATACTCTAGGTCACTCTGTGTTACAGCTGTAGTTCTTATACCTGAGCTTATTTAAGCTTTCAATACCACCAAGCTAAGATGATCATACATATTCCATCCTTTTCTTTCCCAACAGAGTTGATGACTTGCAAAAGCCTATTGATAAACCTGAGAACATAAACTGGGAAAGTTATGCAAGAGGTGCTGTTTATGCACTGCAGAATAGTGGATATGATCTAAGGAAGGTAACCCATCACATTTATCTTTTAAACAGTCCAGATTGTGTTGTACTTAAAATTTTTTGGCAAATGATTTCTTGTAGGGTATCATAGGATATATTTCTGGTGTGAAAGGTCTTGATAGTTCAGGGCTCAGTTCTTCTGCGGCGGTAAGCTTACTGATATATTGTATACATTTACTGAGTTGATGTTACTTCTAGGCCTATCTATTGCTTGTTGGTAGTGTTAAATTAGGTGCTGGAAGGTGGCAGTAAATTTTTATGTGTTTTCATCTCAATGAAACTCTGATATATAACCTGATTAACTTCACAAGCATATAGATTGGAATTTGTCCCAGATCACTGATTTTTTCTCTAGTACATTTCTATTACCCTACAACCTCAAAATGCATTTTAAGAAAATTTGACCAATGATATTGAATATAAGATAACTGTTTCTCTGTTCGCTTCAACAGGTTGGTATCGCTTACTTGCTGGCTTTAGAACATGTAAATGATCTGGTTATATCACCAGTGGATAACATTCAGTTAGACAAGTAAGTTTGTTTGGTTCCCGTTAATAGCCTACAAGGACAAATTTCATGGGTGCATGCACCTGATCGATACCTGTTTTAATTACAAACATCTTTGTTGAACTCGCTGCAAGCCTGCTACCATAAGCTAATGCCTTAGCAATGTCTTAATGCAAGAATGTGCTGTTCTTACTTTAGACTTTACTACTTGCTTTATACTAAATTAATTGTTGTCACCCTCTTAGAAGGATATTCATGGTCGTTAGGATTTCAGCTGTCCACTTAGCTTTGTTCCTATATGTCAGGTACATTGAAAATAAATACTTGGGTCTCAAAAATGGCATTCTAGATCCATCTGCCATTTTGCTTTCACGGTATGGCTATCTCACCTTCATGGACTGCAAGGTAATACTTTTGCATTTATACGAAGTTTATTTAATTTCTTATTGATATGAAGAGTTTTTCCTCTAATAATGTTTCAACTTTCAAGGCCACTGAGTTATTTAATAAAACATATATGAGGATATGTTTGCATGATGAACTAGTGCCATAAAACACATATGAGGATATATGTTTCCATAAGTTCAATTGTTGATAAAACTAAACTTTGGGCCCTTTAATTGGGTCAACTCTGCCAAGTGTCTCTTTGTTTGTGCTGTACATGCACATACCTTGTTAGATAGTGTTCATTGCAGTGTTCTCTTTCTCTACTACCTCCAGTTACAAAGAACTTGTTTAGGCCAAGATTTGGTCATACCTTAAAAACTACTACAAACATCAATAACTATTACATTATTTAGTTTCGAAGCGTGAAAGTTATATGTGTTGATTTGTGTTCAAAATATCTCTTATAAGGATTTTAAGACATTATTCTAGAAGTAATTAGTGGTCAAAGATACACATCTAACCGTGCAAAGTTAGACGTGTCAAGTATTTGTGACTGGAGACAATATTACTCATTTGTATTTGTTGTGACTGAGACTCTCTTACTTGAGTAGACTGCTTCACCTTCCTACGTCTGCTTCTCGGAGCTGAGTAAAAGCCAACAGCCTCAGGGACAGCTACCATTCAAGATTTTATTGGCATTTTCGGGACTGCAACATAATCTCCCAAAGAAGAGTGGATATAATATGCGGGTTTTTGAGTGCAAAGAGGCTGCCCGTGCTCTTTTGCAGTGAGTTCCTCTATTAATAACTTAATATAGAGCTATATTTCATCATGCAAACAAATATACTCTTATGTTTTCAATTTTATATGGGTTGACATTTGTGGTTCTTCTACAGTGTTTGTAATTCATTGTCATGTTCAATGTCGTCTGATTCATTGATTATGTTTTTGTTTGAATCCTCAGTGCTTCAGGCTGTGAAGATACGCCGAATATACTTAGCAATGGTACATGATCTAAGTAATATTTCTTGTCGTGGCCCAATGTAAAAGTATAATTTGTCTGACATTTTCTTTATTATTACAGTTGATCCAGTTGTATATGAGGCCCAGAAGGTAATTATCACTTTCAGGTCCAATTTCTTAACATTTTCACGTCATTCCAACATAATTTATTCCTGCAGTATGTATTAGAAGAAAATCTTTCCAGGAGAGCTGAGCACTACTTTTCTGAAATGAAGCGGGTTACTAAGGGTGAGCTAATCACATATTTGGTGTATATCTTCCTGCAGTATGTTAACTACTTGTTCATGACATATTTCTATTCTCACAAGTACAAAGTGTTAGTTCATATATTGTTTGAAAGATTATTTCACCATATTTCAGCCACTCACCAACACCGCACATCTTAACAAAGAAATACAGTTTGGCCAGCTCCGGCATCTGCATAAATGTACTGTTTGCATAAGTACCCTTTGTACTCATGAATGAATTGGACTTCTAGTTTACTGACCACTTATTGTTTCGCTTTGATAATACATACAGTTTTCACTGGGTATGCTAATGCTATCCAGAAACAGTTACTCTTTTACTTGTATCTCCACGCAAGTGTCAAATGGTTCTGCAATGGCCTGATAGTTCATCCCCGATCTTTGTTCAGGCAGGGATGCATGGGCTCGGGGGAACCTACAGGAACTTGGACAGCTGATCTCTGCATCTGGTCGCAGCTCCATACTCAACTACGAATGCGGTATGCTACTTGTACTCGAAACACCACCTTGTGCTTCACTCTATCTCGTTGGCGCCATCATTCTTGTTGATCGTCAGGTTAACAGTACGTGATGCAATGATTTATCTGAAACCGCAGGGAATAAAGAGATGATCCAGCTGTACGAGATCCTGCTGAAGGCCCCCGGCGTCCTCGGCGCCCGGTTCAGCGGCGCTGGCTTCAGGGGCTGCTGCCTGGCGATCGTGGAGAGCGAGCGCGCGGAGGATGCAGCCGCGTACGTCCGTGCCGAGTACGAAAAGGCCCAGCCCGAGCTGGTCTCCAGGATCCCCGCGGATCGCCGCGTGCTGGTCTGCGAGCCCGGGGACGCCGCGCGCGTCATATTGCCCGATCCTCACCTGCGCTCCTGATGGCATGTCGTGTCACAGACGGAGACGGAGGCGGCCGGCGGTATAAATGGAGCTGCTGCTCCCCGTCTCGTTTAGATCTCACGTGCAGTTATATAAGTATGGTGCATTGCATTCGTGTACGTGTCCGTGTTTTGACCATTTCATCCGTTCGTTTTTACGAAGAAGCAATAAGCGTGGCATTGGCCGGTTCGTTTGTGGCAGCCCTGTCTGTTTCCGCTGCGTGCAGGAGCGCAGTCGTGTCTAAGAATGAAGAGCGCAAATCTCGCTTTTCGCAGGCGATCGTGGAGCCGAGACGCGAAGGGTTTGGTTTTGGTTTTTGTTTTCGCTTAGGTACTGTTTGATCACGTGGATTAATAAACTAAAGTTTAGTCCACAAGAATTCAATGAATGGGCTAACAACTAGTTCAGGCTCCAACTAGTTGTTAGTCCACTAGTCGATCTCAAACCCAGCTATCAGGAGCTAAACTTTGCAAAAAAAAAAAAAAAAAAAAAATTACCGCGACAGTTCCACTCACGGCCTCACCCGCATCTGTCCGCAGCTCCGCGCCGGTTCCCCTCGCTTCCGCGTCCGTCCGCTCCGCGCCGTCGCAAGCTACAGTGGAGCCGGGCCCCAAGCACCTGACGCCGGCCTCCTCCGCCTCCCCGCCGAGCCGGCCAGGGCGGCGGCGAGCAGCAGCAATCGGCACCTGCAGCAGTGCCGTCCCCCTCAAGCCTCAACACCCTCCAGCGGCGGCGCGACTCCGGCCCGCAGCAGCGCCGCCCGTGCTGCAGCCATCTCCCTCACGCGGCACCTCTCCGTCGCACACCCCCGCAGCAGCAACGCTCGCCAGCTGCGCCAGCACCCGCCTCAACAGGAGACGCCCTTCCGCGGCATCTCGCCCTCGCGCACTCCCGCAGCATCGACGCCCGCGCCTACGGCCCTCTCGCACGGCAGCTGCAACAGCGTCGTCCCCCTCGAGCCTTAACAGAAGGTATGCTCGGGGCATTTTCTCTTTTTATTTGCTTATTTTTTGCAAATGATATGCAGCCAGTGTATATGCAGTTAAATTGGAATAACATTTATATAGAGTCATCTGAATTTTCATTCTTTGTAAGTTGAAAAATCTTGTTTTTCTCTCAATAAGCTGAATCTGTTAGAACAGTTTTTTTTTCAGCGAAGCGAGGAGTCCTCTGAATTTTCATTCTTTGTCAAGTTGAAAAATCTCGTGCGCACATGATAAGCTGAACCAAATTTATTTACAATCATTTAGCTTTCACACACAATGTGTGTGGATGCTATCCGTTCTTGTGATTTATGAAGTCTGAACTCAAAGCATCATATTCTTACTATATTGTTTCTCGGTCTGCTGATGTCCTCGAACTTCCTTCTGATTTATTGCAGGATTTCATTGATATTGATACTGAGACAAGAATACCATATCCAGCTGAACTTGCCGATGGATCCAGAGGTGGGCTTCGATTTTTTTTCTCAGTCCGATTCAGTGGTACCTCTGACCAAAGAAAGCGGCAAGGAGTTTTTCGCCTCATCACAAGTGGGTGGCTCACTGATTGGGCATGGCGAGGCCAATATCGACCTCAACATTGACGCAGAAGATTTCCCAGCTACGGCCACCTTCCAAGACGTCGTGCAGGCTGAGCAAATGAATCCAGTCACTATGGATATTGGCCAAGATGCAGGCACTGGTTCAGGCAGAAGTGCACACATTGCTTCAGGGCGAGGTGCCAACGCCACGGAGCCGTTCCGCGCTCCTCGCACATCTGGAGGTGGCCGTGGACGTGGCCGTGCAGGGGGAGCTGGAGGTGGAGGTGGAGGTCATATGTTTCTGATTACTTTTCGCAGAATCAATCTGAATGGAAGAAGTTAAGAAAGGGGCCCCCAAAATGTTTGGATCAGCTTGAGCAAATGTTCTGTAACGTGGTTGTGGATTGATCATCCTCTTGTATTCCTGGTGAAGAAGATTTTGGGATGGACGAGGACGATGAAGATGATGGTCAGGAAGGGAGCCCAATGAGCATTAGTACCAGGAAGAGGGCTAGTAGCACTGTGACAACAGCAACTAGTCCAGTGAAAAAGACAAAGAGTCCTATGTTTAAAGTCATGAGAGAGCTTACGGAAAGTATGAAGGCTGACAGTGCTTCTACTCAAAAGGCGTTGAATGGTGATCTAGTGGCCGAGTCTATGAAGAAATGTCAACAGTTGGCTGTAGAGTGTGGGGGCTTCCGAAGAAAGTATTGAATATTTCATGGCGTGTCTTTCGTTTGCCAAAGCTGAGCAGCAGCAACAACAACGTAGCCTTTGAATCCCAAACAAGTTAGGTTACACTAGAGTTGAAACCTATCAAGAATCTCAAGTCACACTTCAGCTGCTTTTCAAGCACTCCTATTCAAACGTAGATTTCTAGATATATCACACGCTTTAAATCTCTTTTTATTGTCTCCCCCTATGTCAATTTCAGTCTTCCTCTACCTCTTCTCATATTATTAGCTTGCCTTAGGACTCCACGATGCACTGGTGTCTCTGGAGGTCTCCTTTGGACATGGTCAAACCACCTCAATCGATGTTGGAGCTTTTTTTTAATTGGTGCTACTCCTAGACGATCACGTATATCTGTGTTCCGAACTCGGTCCATTCTTATGTGATCACAAATCCATCGCAACATACGTATTTATGCAACACTCAGTTGTTGAACATGTCGAATCTTTGTAGGGCAACATTCTGCTCCATACAATATAGCCGGTCTAATCGTCGTTCTATAAAATTTGCCTTTTAGCTTTTGTGGTACCCTCTTGTCATAGAGAATGCTAGAAACTTATCACCACTTGATCCATCCTGCTTTGATTCTATGGCTAACGTCTGTATCAATATCTCCATCCCTCTGTAGCATCGATCCCAGATATCGAAAGATATCCTTCTTAGGCACTACTTGACCTTCCAAACTCACATCTCCCTCCTCCTGTGCAGCTCCGCCAAAGTCGCATCTCATGTATTCGGTTTTAGTTCTGCTCAATCTAAAATCTTTAGACTCAAGGGTCTGCTACCATAACTCTAGTTTTCTATTTGCTCCCGCTTGACTTTCGTCCACTAACACTACATCATCAGCGAATAACATACATCAAGGGATATCCACTTGTATGTTCCTAATAACCTCATCCATTACCAAGGCAAAGAAATACGGGCTTAAGGCTGATCCTTGATGAAGTCTAATTTTAATCGGGAAGTAATCTGTGTTACCATCGTTTATTCGAACACAGTCACAACATTGTTATATATGTCCTTGATGAGGGTCAAGTACTTTGATGGGACTTTATGTTTATCTAAAGCCCACCACATAATATTTCTTGGTATCTTGTAATAAGCTTTCTTCAAGTCAATGAAAACCATGTGGAGGTCCTTCTTCTGCTCTCTAAACCGCTTACTTGTCTTTATTAAGAAGATTGCTTCTGTGGTTGACCTTCCGGGCATGAAACCAAATTGGTTTGTTGATATCTGCGTCGTTCCTCGCAGGCGCTGCTCAATGACTCTCTCCCATAGCTTTATAGTGTGGCTCATCAACTTAATTCCCCGATAAATTGTACAACTTTAGATATCTCCCTTATTTTTGTAGATTGGTACCAATATGCTTCTTCTCCACTCCTCATGCATCTTGTTCGATCAAAAGATATTGTTGAACATCTTGGTTTACCATACTATAGCTATATAAACCAAGACATCTCCACACCTTGATTGAGATACCATCAGGGCCCATCGCTTTGTCCCCTTTCATTCTTTTAAGGCTTCTCTAACCTCCGATTCTTGAATTCTCCGCATAAAATGCTTTGTTAGTGTCATCAAACGAGTCATCCAGCTGAACGGTGGTGTTCTCATTCTCACCATTGAACAATTTATCAAAATACTCTTGCCATCTATGTTTGATCAAATCCTTCTTCACCAAGAGCTGCTCCTTCTCATCCTTTATGCACTTGATTTGGTTGAAGTCCCTTGTCTTCCTATCGTGAGCCCTAGCCATCCTATAAATGCCCTTCTCTCCTTTCTTTGTACTCAAACGTTGATAAAAGTCTTAATAGACCCGCCCTTTGCCTCACTCACCGTTCAGTCTTCTTTGCCAAAGATGAGCAACGCCGGATTTTTTTTACATCAGCAGCAACGAAGCACGGTTCTTGCACTTGAAGCGGTGGTGTCGGATGAAGAATATGTATTCAAACTGAGTACTGAAGTGTCAGCTATCATAGAACCTTAGGTTCTCTGCATTAGATTGCATTAGAAACTTGTTTTGGACTTTCAGTTGCATGTGTGTCAATATCTGGATTATGAATTATGAACTTGTCTTTATATGTGTGTGAACGAGTCTTCCAGATTTTCCATGATTATTATCTTTATTGTGATCTGGTACTTATTTAATATGTGGCATTGATGCTAATATGTGGCTGCATATGTGTGTGATCTGTTATTATCATGGTATTACCATGTACGGTAATCTCACATGTGTTTTACTTAAAATTTGGATGTATATCAACTTTTCATCCAGTGATGAGGAAGACGACATACAGCAGCTTGCACTGGCTCATCGGAGGAAGATGCAGCGCTATGGTACAATTGCTTGCATGATTGGTACGTACTGCTAGGCCCCGTTCGCGTGTCCTTAAACCCGACTTGATTCGCTTCTTTTTTCATCCGGAACAGTGTTTCTCTCTCACAAATCCCTCCAGAATTCCTCCAAACCATCCAAATTCCTCCAGAACCATACCATCCGAACGGAGCCGAAACTTTCATGAACAAGGCTGAGATGAGGCAACCTGCGCTTTTAGGAATCCATTGGGTTAATCGAACATTAAAAAATCCCACAGCTTGTTTCGATATGTTTAGGATAAGCAGTCCTTTATTTGAGAGACTACATAATTTGCTTGAGTCATCGTATGGCTTGAAGTCATCCGAAAAGATGTCTTTTGTGGAGGCTTTAGCGATGTTTTTTTGGATGGTTGATGCCCCACAGTCAATTAGACAAGCTGATAATCGGTTCGAAAGGTCAAAAGAAACAGTTAATAGAAAATTCGAAGAAGTATTGCATAGTTTGTACAAGCTCTCAGCTGATATTATCAAGCCTAAAGACCCACAATTTAGGATGGTTCATCCAAGATTACAAGCTCCTCGGTTTGCACCATATTTTGACAATTGCATTAGAGCAATTAATGTAACACATGTTCCTGTTGTGGTGCCTACTTCGAAGGTCCTTCAATTCGTGAGTCGAAAGGGCTATACTTCTCAAAATGTGTTAGCCATTTGCGACTTCGATATGAGGTTCACCTTTGTTGTCGCGGGATGGTCCGGATCGATACATGATATGAGAGTGTTTAACGATGCCATACACAAATATGGTGACAAGTTTCCGCATCCGCCACCAGGTAAAAGGACCTTGTTGCATCTCCTTGTACTTATGTCCATATTTTAAGATGCCTATTGTTCATTTTTGTACTAAATGCATTCATAGCATTATATAGGAAAATTCTATCTTGTTGACTCGGGATATCCTAATCGGTCGGGTTATCTTGCACCATTCAAAGGGACCAAATATCATTTACCTGAGTATTATGCTCATTCATCACTTCGAAATGTCATCGAACGTTCTTTTTGGGGTATTAAAGATGAAGTGGCGGATTTTATTGCACTTACCAAGCTATCCTATGGTAAAGCAAAGCAAAATAATACTTGCTTGCATGGCTCTTCACAACTTTATTGGAGAGAGCAAAATAGTAGATCCTGGCCCTGTTCGTTTCACTGAAATTTTAGCTGATGCTGATGCTTATGCTGATTTATTATGAGGGGAAAACACTGTTCGTTCACTGAAAAGTACTACTGAAGTACTTTAGCAGGTGTGATCTTGATGAAAACTAGGTGCCATTTTTGGAGTCATCATCATCTCGACAGAGGCAAGCGAACAATCATGTGGGAGATGAGGACCAAAGTATAGAAGAGAACAGTAGCTACCTATGTGTGTTTCAACAATTTAATTTGTATGAACAATTTCATTTGTATGAATTATTTGTACTCCTAGATCGAACAAGTGCACCATCTCCATGGATTCTCTCATTCTACACAACCTCCGAACTCCTGAAGCTTCTCTTTAGGTAGTTCATCTTCTACCTCTAGCTCTCCCACCTCTACCACCTTTTTGCACCCCCATTGTAAGAACTTTAGAGCATTCAAGCGAGGAACACGCACTCGATCATCTCTGAGATTGGATGTAGGGCTCTGGCCTAAACCAGTATAAATCCTCATGTCTTTTAGATGCTACCATCGTCTTCCTAGAATAGCGCGACAATTGTATAAGTTTACTAGTCCGGTTTATAAAACACAAATAGTTGGCGCGCCAGGTAGGGGACAGTCGCGCACTCTCGATTGTTGAGAAGGAAGCGATGGCTCCTTGCACCGTCGGTGGACTCACTCATGGAATGGCCCACGGAGGCCACATCCGTCACAAAAACCACGAGCTCATCGGCATCGAAGGGCCAGCGCCACGTCCGCGTTCGGCCGTGGCTCCGGACCTCCGCTCTAGAGGTCTGGACCCCATGGTTTACGGTGGCAGACACTCTCTAAAATTGCCTTCTATGGCAGCATCCCAGAGTCATCTACATAGGGGGCTAGCACCCTCTCTCGTCACCAGCCATGGCCAAGTCTTCCATCCAGGAAGCCAGAGGCCCACGGCTCATGGCGAACTCACCTAGGGAATGGCCTTAGCCGGCCACATCCTTTTGAGGAATCGCAAGACTATCCACACCAATGGGTCAATGCCCATCATGAGCTTCTACCCTATCCAGGCCAACCATGTGGGAAGCCTAGGTCCGGCGGTAGAACCACGTCTTGAGCAGTGTCTCCACAACTAGCGGAGCACAGCGTGTCAGGGCATGCATGAGCGATGAAATCACCCACCACCATGTGTCATCATCATCAGCAACCAGGTGGTTGCCCGGCGCCACACCACCCAAGGCTGAGCCTAGAACCAGGGTCCAGCTCTGCTTAACGGACAAATCATCCGTCATGCCTCAACGAACTATCATCTTTCATTTGAGGCACGTGCATCGGAGGAAGTGGACTCCCCGAGTGCACCATGAGCCGCGTCAAGCGGACCAAACCATGTGGCCCTCAGAATCTATTTCCGCAATGACAGGTCACGCTAGCTCTTCATCAAGAGCGGAAACCATACCAAGAGGTGGAGACGCAACAACCACGTCGTCATCGCG